CCCCCCCCCCGCTCCGCCCTACTGTCTTCGGTGAGCTGAAAAATAATCCGACCTTTCGATGCCTGCTAACGACGACGACGACGACGGCGGTTCGTTCGGCCGTTCGGCCTGGCAGAACAACAGTGTTCACGCATGCATAATATATATGACTATTAGACTAGTCTATATATATTTTTTTTCTCCCATCATTGGACTCTGTCGTCTGCCCCTCTGGCCCCTATCCTCCACTTCTACTAGCTAGACGACCCAACTGGGTTCAAATGGGAGGGGGGGGTAGGAGCCCCTCCTGCGGTTCCTTCCTGTCTGAGATGTTTTTATCGCAAGAAGAAGGGTACAGAAATCCCTTCCCTCGCGACGTACGAAGTCGAATATGGTTTTACCAACTACAGCAGCAGCATCACCCCCCCTTGTCCTGCACTTTACCAAAATGAATGTTTGTCGACTACAGCGTGCTGCTGTCTGTAGTGTTGTCTTCACAATAATAGCACCATTGTGCATTGCACACAAGCTCGGGGCATGCAGCTGCTGTCTGAAATGCTGTCAGAATGCGTCGTCCGTCCGTGGACATACAACGAAGAAGAAGCACAACCAACCAAGCGATCATGGCAATTGACAATCACCCGAATCTATCCATAACCGATTGGTAAAGGCTTACCCATTAGTCTAGACTACTCAGTCAGGGCTTACCCATTAGACTACTGACTGAGTAGTCTAATGGGTATAAGCTTTTACCAATCGAAGGATACACGCACAGGTTCAAATCCCGGGCTGATCACTTTGCGAAAAGCACCATAGTTCTGTTCTCGGCAGCGCCTGGCGAGGGGTCTGTCCCCGGAGATCTCTACTCACAGCCCGGGATTCTACGAGCCGAGTGTGTATCTTTCGGTTGGTAAAGGCTTACCAATTAGACTACTCAGTCAGCGGCTGACTGAGTAGTCTAATTGGTAAGCCTTTACCTATCACATATCACCTGTGTTAGACACAGCAGTGTAAACATCGACACTGACTGACTGACTAGGTATCGCTCCACATTGAAGGGGTCTTCCACGATGCAGGTACACAATTAAGGCACCCAGGTTATCCACGCCATCTCTGCCGCGTCTCCCTACAAAACCAGTGACGTCATCACACCCAACACACCCACAACACCCAACACCAATATTGTTGAGGGAAAAAACGAGTCTTGGTTACACGTTGATGGTAACTCTTTAGGACTAACCGATGTTGAACAGAGTAAGGCTATCTTCTTCACGCGAGCAAGGCTAGGTTGCTCACCCCACCTCTACACTAACCCTTACCCTCACCCATGGCCAAAGCACGGCCTAGCGGCCGCGACCTGGGCGAGCACGCGGCTGCGCCGCGTGCGCGGAATGCGGAACGGGGAGAGGGCGCTGGGTAGGAATCGGCCGCCAGAACCAACGCCGAACAACGCCCGACCAATCAGAACGCGTTAGGCCTGAAGATCTACTATCAATGTGTCAACACTACTAGAAAAGATCAAAATACCAGGGGCGGGTTCCGAGCTAAAGACGAATTGCCCCTGCGGGCACGATTTCTTTTTTCAAAAAAATCGACTTCGCAGATCGTTCTGGAACGACCAAATAAGATGTCGAAAAAAGTCGGCGAAAACGGAAACCGTAGACACACAGGTAGTTTTCTCTGACGCTATGATTCCATTGTTAATCTGTCTCTGACTCTTTTCTATCATAGAGATGGACTCGTTGTGTCATATTAAGAAAAATAATAAAAAAAAAGTTGCCCTTCGCCCTTCGGCTCGACGGCTCGATCGAATTTTTTTTTTCGCCGCATTCCCGAACTGTTTTTTTTCTCGCCGACCTCGGCAATCGCTTCCGCTCTGCCGATTTAGGGGGGTTAGAGCCACTTAGAAAGTTAGTCAGGCAAGAAGTGGTGTGCCCGCACGGGGTCTGGAAGTATGATGAGGCGTGGCGACGGCCCAGCGATTACCGGCCCGGGCGAATGTGAACGCGTTATGTATGCTGGTGAGACGCGATTACCGGCCCGGGGCTTACGGACCGCGCGACCACGACTAGGCGGGGGAGAGACGAAAGCGTTCCGGACGTGATGGAGAAAGATTGGTCACTGGCGATGGGAACGGACGTGGGGGAGGTGGAGGGGACGGAGCTCACAGTGAAAAGGGCAAGGTCGTATGTGCCGTGGAGCCCGGCGTGGGAAAGGGGCGGGGCGACGGGAGAGGAGAGCCAGCATGAAGGCGAGGGGGAGGATGGGGGGGGGGCGGGGACGGGGCAAGGGGGCGACTCCGGCGGCGTTAAGCGGGGGGGCAGGAAGAGGAAGAGGGATGGCCGCCGCACGGATCCTAGTGAAGAGAAGGGAGAGGAGGAGGAGAGGGAAAGGACGTGGGGGGATGGGTCTACAGGTGCAAGACGGAGCGGCAGGGCGCGGAGGCCCAAAGCGCTGTTCACGTTGGTGGAGGGGTATGTATGAGGAAGAAAGAAGAAGAGAAGGAAAGCGATGTGGAAGGGGAGAAGGAGGGGGAGGGGAACGCGGAGGGGGAGAGGGAGGAAGAGGAGGAAGTAGAGTCGGAGAGGGAGGAAACGGAGCGGGGGTGCGAGGTGGTTCGCGCCGAGAAGGTCATCCTCGCCCACGAGCTTTACACCTCGGCCGCGTCTTGCTTTTGCTCAGCGTGCCGACGGCGCGAGTACAACATGTGCTTTACGAAAAGCATGTATCCGGGGCAAGTCCCCGTGCTTCAAGCAGACGAAGTTGAGGAGATGGTCATTAGGGTCACTGGGGTAGATCCAGTGGTTGGAGTTGACCCCGTCCCTGGTAGCAAGAGAAAAACGAAAGCAATTATATATATTATAGAAGTATTATTTTGATTGCCCTCGGACAATTGTAGATAAATGCAGACATACATAAAAAGTCCATCGTAAAGGCCGTCATGCCAAGCCAAATAAACTCGATGCCCAATAGCTAGGAATGTTTGCCTCAAAGTCAACAAAACTTTGGTTGAAACACTACTACTACAGCTGAACTCTAGGCACGAACCTTACTTAGGTGATCGTGTTCGGCAAGGAGGATTTATGTATGATGNGGTTGTCGGGGCACTGAGGGCGTGCTGGGAGGGTTTTGGTTGTTTTTCGGGGGGGGGTGTACGCGGTCCTGCCGCGTAGTAGTAAGTTTCGGAGGCGTTTCGTCTGGACATCCGGGGCAATAACACAACACGAGTGTGAGGCTCTATAACTTTTTATCTGGGGCGAGCTCGTAAATTTGGACGACGGATTCGTGATCCCCACCCCAAAATTACTCTGACCTGAATCTTTCAGGTCGATCTGAGCACTTTTCAAACCCGGGGACATTTAGCGGCCATCCCCGCTTTATGCGTTTTCGCGAATTCGCCGTGGAAAATCGATAAGACTCGTTAAAACCCGGGCACCACGGACTTTTTGTTTTTGTTTTTTTCGCAGATCGTCATTGTTAGGGTATGTATGCAATGATACTAGTGAATTTTCAATACTTTGTGCGAGGATGGAAAGAAGTTGTCCCCCCACCCAAACCAAAAAAAAAATCGTCTTTATTTAGCTCGGAACCCGCCCAGGGTTGTTTGTTTGTTTTCTTCACATTGACTCGTGTCAGTTGCTAATCCCAAAATCTAGCAAAGACTCGGTCCGTGGTCACAAAAATGCTAGAGCCATCAGAAGATCTGAAGAACACACACACTATTAGCAAGGAAAGGGTACGCAAGCCCAAGGAGGTACACCTGCAATCCCTGCAGCACGTTTGCGTGCTCACAACTGAAGAACTACACGCCCACACACTACAAATAAATCGACTACAGCAGCAGCAGCATCACCCCCCTTGTTGTCCCGCATTCAACCAAAATGAATGTCGACTACAGCGTACTACTGCTGTCTGAAGTGCTCTCTGTACAATAATCACACCATCCATGGCGCATGGTACACAAGCTCGGGGCATGGAGCTGCTGTGTGACGTGCTGTCAGAATGAGCCCGTGGACATACCATGAATGAAGAAGAACGCCCAACCATAGCCATCATTGCAATTGACAATCACCCGAGTCTATCCAGATCATCTGTGTTAGGCACAGCAGTGTAATCATCGACACTGACTGACTAGGAATCGTTCCACATTGAAGGGGTCTTCCACGATGCAGGTACACAATTAAGGCACCCGGGTTATCCGCGCCATCTCTGCCGCATCTCTCTACAAAACCAATGACGTCATCACACACACCCAACACCTGTATTCACGAAAAAAACGGAAAAATAATTGATGATTTTACTTGACAATACAAGAGATGATGTTTGTCCGTGCGCCACGGTTCGATGCCCTCCGCCTGCTCCGGTTCTGCTGCTCCGGTGCCGCTGCTCCGGTGCCGCTGCTCCGGTGCCGCTGTGGCCAGTTCTAGCACGACCAAACTCGACCCGCTCCGCTTCGTACACGCTCTCGTTGCTGTCCTTCCCAGTCGGTTCCTCGCTTTCTCCCTCGTCGCACTTGGGGTTCTTGGTGTGAAATTCTCGTGCCGAAGGGTCAACGAGCCCAATCAGCTCGTCACCACCTGTCCCCTCCTCCTTTGATGGCAAAACCAGGTTACTGAGACAGTACAGCTCCCTCTAGCAAACCTAGGGCCGTGTACATAGTGCCCGTCCACCTTTCTGATGACGTCTGCCTCCGCGCACAAAGACGAGATGGGCATTGCTGCCTACACCGACGGCCTGGAGGCCCGCGCATCTGCACCTTTGTACCTGACGCACCAGTGCCGACCCAACTCCACCACTACGCACGCCTCGCGGCGGGTGCGCCGCAGCAAGAAGGTATCGGTCCCCTGGGGGTGAGTCTAGCCCTGCTCGCGAGAAAGACCCCCCCCCTCGCTATGGATCATGCCTACGCAAAACCTTGCCGAGCAGCGAGGGGAAGAAGGAAGAGTGCGACACACAAAACGCCCAACTACCCAACAGAACCCAACACGTCATCATTCGGCTACTACACCTACATATATATATATATGAGACACACAAGACAGCTACCAAACAAACTGATTTTGTTGAGCCTGTTATCCGCAGGGGAGATGTCCCTAAATGCTGTCTGGGAAATCGTAGACAAACAGACAGGTAGTTTTCTCTGACGCTATGATTCCATTGTTCAATCTGTCTCTGACTTTTCCATGATAGAGATGGACTCGTTGTGTCATACAAAGAAAAAAAAAAAACTAATTCATTCATCAGCCAGCGGCAGGCGGCGTGCGTACTCCAGCACTGGCGACAGAGACTCGTGCTCCAGCGACGAAAACGCCTCCAGAACTCATACTACAGAACCTTTTTTTTGAAAGCGAGAGACGTGGGACGCTTCCTCTGACCGCCGTTGCTGCGTACCCAACGGAGCCGACAAACCTCCGCATGAGCGAAAGCATGGAGTCTTATACTGCTGCTGCCGTTACGAACGAGTCACATCATGTTGATGTGGGTGAGGACGTGGAGGGCGGGCTGGGCGGGCTGGGAGAAGTTGGCCCAGAAGTTGGTTCACCGTCACCTCTTTGTGGGTCTGGGTCTGGAGGAGGTGAAGTTGGCGCCGCTAGCTCGCCCGCGCCCGCGTCTGCTGCAGATGGGCCAGCTGCAAGTCCAAGGGGTGCGATCCTGCCGACGTCTCCAGGTACTTACAGGCGTGCCATCACTGCGTTCATCGACGTACATTTCCAACTTCCCATCTGTATCGGCACCAATACCGCCAGCGAAACAAGTCAAAGTCAAAGTTGTTGTTTGTTTGTTGTTTGTTCGTTGTTGTTGTTGTTGCTCTTGCTCACAAGATCGCTTATTTGTCCAAGTACTTTGGCCCCTCTAAACCAAGCTTCGTTGAAGCACACAACATTATCAACCTTGCTCATGCTTCTACTTGCATTTGTTTGTCGTGTCCAGAGGACCTGGCGACCCTTCAAGGGGAGGTAGAAAACCTCCTTTTCCCCAACCTCGAACAGGGGAGCCAACAACAGTTTGGGGAGGCAACAATCGAGAACGCCGTGGGGATGCTGAAGGCGAAGATTGGGCGCGGCTACCCGCTTCAAAGACACAACAAAACAAAGGTGAGGTTTGGACCCTCATGTTTGCTAAGGTTACCCTTCACTGGCGTGAAGAGTGGACTTGCTGCGTTGTTGATACTGTCGGCTGCACGTGGACTCGTCTTGTAGGGTCGTTCGCCATGAGACCAGATGCACAGCCTGAAGGATTGAAACATTGAACGTTCGTCGTGAACGTTCGGCAAGGGCTGACGTCCAATGTGGTTTTTCTGCACCCCCTTCAGTTGTACACCAGAAAGCAGGAGGCGGAGCACGGCAGGCGCAATAGATGGAACTACGTGGAAATCGTCTGTCCTCAGGCGGGGTCTCCGCGAGCACGAGAACGTGTCGCGAATGCGAGCGCTCGCCGCAATACTAGCTCAGAAAAGGTGCGTCAGGATTGAGTATTGGTAACGCTCCCCTGTTGAATGTTAGAAAAAGGCAGGAAAATCACGACAAAGAATATCTCCCTGTTGTATCTCGTGTCGGGGAACAAGAGGAGAGGTCATCTCCCTTTCCACGCGGACACATTTTTTTCTGCAGCACCTGCACGAAACCTCCGCTTCCCACGCTGCGCCCCCCTGTGTACGATACGGTGTGCAAATTCCAGATTGGATGCGCTTTCGAGGTCGGATTGTGGTGGGCGGCCAACAGCCCTGCGCCGATCGTTGCGAAGGTGAGGTCATTTGCCATCAGTAGAAGCGGGTAGAAGCGGGTAACTGACGACGACGCAGCAGTAGTCTCGCCATGAATACGGTGAATGGACGAGCTCGATGGGAGCCACAGCCTACAGGGATCCGCGTCCGTACACAAGGGCTGGTGTAAAAATTCTGTGCGCCAGTAGACTGTTTCTTAGTAGTACGTGGAGGTAGACTCGTGAGAAGAAAGCCTATCGGGTTTCCAGTGTCAGCCTAGTTCGACGGTGGTTAAGCCTAAACAACCCTAAACCCTAACCCTAACCCTAACCCTAACCCTCACCCCAACCCAACGCTTGGTTGCTGGGCGTTGGTTAAGTGCTAGGTCGCTGCAAGTGGTAAACCTAGACTGCTGGCGCACAGAATTTTTACACCAGCCCTGGTGTACGGACGCGGGAGCCAGCCTACAGCGCTACCTTCGCAGCCACCCGATATTGCCTGGGGGGTGACCGAATGCCACGCCCACTTATGTAACCACAGAATCGCAAGCTTGCTCTTGCCACTATTTTGCTTCTCTACCGCTGCTTCTCTTCCGCTGCTCAGGGAAAACTTTGCCTCACGCACCACACGAAGACTTCCGGCGGGAAGGAGCACGAGCGCCCGCGAGCTATCGAGAACGAGATGAGCGTAGCGGAGATTGAGGCGAAAAGAGATTTTCTCCGTGAGCTGCACGCTTCTCGCGTCAAGACGACGGAGATCCACAAGACTCTCGAGCGCGTCGGCAAGAGGCTAGGACAAGCAGGAAAGCAAAAGGTGAGTGGCTGAGGCCGTTGTTCGTGGAGGTCATTTGTCAACGCGAGCGAGGTTGGTCGTCCAAACGAGTACACCACAGGAAACATCTCGCTTGTGGCAGTGCCCTCGCAGCCAATCATGTTTCTGTTGCATGGTGGCGACCGTACTTTTGGAGCTTTGTTTTGCTCGTTCGGCTCATGTATCTCGAAGTTGATGTTCCCGAAGTGTTCACACCATGTTCACACCGTAACGAAGCCGCTTTCGGGTGGTGCATCTGTGGATTCACGGCACCTTCAGGTGCGGACTATGATGGCCCAGTTCGATGCCGAACGGCAGGCGGAGAACGGGGCGTTTAACGACGCCCAGCTGCTCGTTGGCCATCTCCAGAACACTGAGGCCTTCCTAAGGTTCAAGCACGAGGATGGCCGCATGACCTGCATCGCATGGGCGTCTCAGGACCAGAAGGTCTTGGCGATGCGATACCACAAGATCATCATACAGGACAACACGTTCAACACCAACGTGTAAGTGCAGTGTTGAGCACGCAGGAACGTCGTGAATTGCTTCTCTGGTGATGGTTGGCGATACTTCTCTGGTGATAATGGGCGATATGTTTTGACTTCGTTTACTTCGGTTAGCGGCGGTCACCACCACTGTCATACCGGGATGGATTCAGTGAGCAAATGTATCAAACATAGGCGCTCAAGTCACCCATCGAAACCCCCACACCACCCCCACGCCTGCCCCTGGAGAACTCAGTTTGGCCGGCAGTATACACCCATGGAGTGAAGTGTCGCTTGATGGTTTCCCCACGATGTCATAGCGCACCATCGTACATCCGTTTGCCGTGCTTCTATGGTGCCATCTGCCAACCAGGTACAAGTTCTTCCTGGCACTCATCGTCGTCGTGGACAAGGAGAATCACACCCAGATAGCCATGCAAGCCCTGCTTGCGAACGAGCGATCAGAATCCTTCGAGTTCATCTTCGAGTCGTTCAAGGAGCTCTGTGGCGGAGGAAGCCCAGGGGTAAGACGATGACCCAGACCCCTTCATCGGAAACGTAGCGATGCCACGGGAGAATCGTATACGACTCCCCCCAAACAAATGGTGGCGCTGACACAACGAGATGAGACGGCGATGGATGCTCAAGTGCATGTCCGCGCCACGCGTTCAACTGACCTCCTTCTGTTGTGGTTGCTCGCACGTTCAATCAGGTGGTCTTCACTGACTGCGACTCTGCCGCGATGTTGGCGATCGCGAACGTGTATCCGTCGGCCCTGAACAAGTTGTGCATCTGGCACACCATGGAGAACATCAGGGATCATGGACGGGGTCTTGCCGAGGGTGTCCTTCCGGCCGTACTCGGCAAGTTCAAGGCAGCAGCGTACGCTCAAACACAGGAGGTGAGATACACTCGACCCTGTTTCGTTTACTTCTAAAGATGGGATATTGTTTTAGGTGCACCGGTGAAAGTTAACCGCGACAATGGTCGTCTTACCTAGTTAGTGAGTAGACGAAGGAAGCGGTCCGCTCTCGTTTTTTCATTTCATTGAGCGTTGACGTAAACGTGTCCCCGCCCCCCCCCCCTTCATCTATGGTCTTCGCTCGCTTCACTTTGTCTTGCTCCCGCAGTATTTCCTACAGCTTCGAGGGGAGATCCTGGACATGTTGCCCCCGGAGAGCCACATGTACAAGTACATGGCCGTCAACATCTTTGGCGCAGAGTAAGCACCGTCTGGCATGATGGCAGCCGCTACGCTACGGAGAGTTGACGTTTTCCTCCGTGAGACCTCGGTCGGTTGATCATGTCATCCTCTTTCCGCCTCTCACACTCCCTTCGGCCCTCAACGTGCCTTGAACAGGCGGGCCGGCAAGTGGGCTTCGTATGTTCACCCTGGGCTGCACACGCTCGGCATTGCCTCCACGCAGCGAGTGGAGTCGATGAATGCGGCGGTAAAGGCAGTGGTGACGAGGAAGGGCAGTATGATGGACCTCAACGATGGGATCATGGCCAAGGTTCAGGACGGCATGGCGAAGACCGAAAGGTGCGACTCCGACACGACTCCGACAGTATTGTGGCGCGTTTCTGCGCCACTGTCTGAGGTACCACGTGACCGAAATGCCTCGACCTGTTGACGTCAACTTGTGTGGCGTCCATGTC